GAGAAACCCTGACCCAAAAAATCAAAATCAACCAAACAGCCGGGCGGTGGTGGCGCACGCCTTTAATCCCAGCACTCGGGAGGCAGAGCCAGGCGGATCTCTGTGAGTTCGAGGCCAGCCTGGGCTACCACGTGAGTCCCAGGAAAGGCGAAAAGCTACACAGAGAAACCCTGTCTCGAAAAACCAAAAAAAAAAAAAAAAAAAAAAATCAACCAAACAAACAAAGAAATAAATAACAAACAAACCCAAAAAAAAACCACATCTAAGTAACCTGAAAAGAAGACACAAATTATAAAATAGAGTAACATATCTTTAAGAAACTGGTTCTGCTACCTTACCCAGGGCAGACTTTAGAAAAGCTTTTGTTATGTTTACAAAGTCCAGAATATGGGAAGAAATGAATTACAGCTGTTTTAGAAACTAGTAAACACACACAAGAGCATTTAAATTTCATACAAACCTGGATTCGAAATCCAGCCATAATAACTGTAGCCACAGGAATTCTGTGAGAATGCTTAGTTAGCTCTCTGATCAATGTCTACATCAAATAAGCCTAATAATTTACATTTTATATCTTATAAAAAAAGGCTACAACTGGGGCTCAAGAGATGGCTCTGTGGTTAAGAGCACTGCCTACTTTTCCAGAGGACCCAGATTCAGTTCCCAGCACCCATATGGCAGCTCACAACCATCTGTAGCCCCATTCACAGGGGATCTGAGGGCACCAGGGACACATTGTGGCACACAGATACATATGCAGACAAAAGACCCATACACTTAAAAAATTGATTTGTTTGGTTTTTTGTTTTTTTCTTTGTTTTTTTTTTGAAGCAGAGTCTCACTGGCTGTACTGGAACTAGCTCTGTAGATCAGGCTGGCCTCCAACTCAGAGATCTGCCTGCCTCTGCTTCTCAAGCTCTAGGATTAAAATTTTGCATGCTACCACATCCAGCAATTAATTCTTTAAAAAAGGCTACAACTAAGCTGTTTTTGTAGATACTCACTTGATATAGCAAAAGATCCTTTTAAATGTTTTTTCACTGGATCTAGAAACTAATTTTTCTTTCTCTTCTTCCTCCTTTTTAAATTTTAACTTAATTTTTTTTTAAAGACAGGGTCTCTTTATTATGCAAGCCCTGGCTGTCCTAGAACTCACCATGTAATAAACCAGGCTCCCAGATAACCTTCTGCCTCTGTCTCCCAAATGCTAGGATTAAAGTTATGCATCACCACATCTAGCTGAAACTAATTTTTCTTACTGCATATCCCAGGGTAGTAGTGTCTTAAGGCCCTGAATCCTTTGCTACAATCCAAGTCTACATAAGCATTCTTTATTAGTTCTTTCATCCTTTGAAATTCTTCATCATAAATATGTTTGAAGGCTGATGATACATGTATGTATCCCACAAGAACTCCCTGTATTCCAGTTATAAAGCTGTTTGGCCAATGGTGAGACAGAATAAGGTTAGGCGGGACATTCCAACTAGACAGAGAGGAAGGAGAAAGACAGAGCAGAGGAGACGCTGCCAGCCACTGCCAGGAGAAGCAAGATGTAAAAGTTCTGGTAAGTCAAGAGCCATGTGGCAAAATATAGATTTATAGGAATAGGTTAATTTAAGATATAAGAACTAGCTAGTGAGAAGCCTGCCATGGCCACAGTTTAAAAATAATATAAGCCTGTGTGTGTTTACTTGGGTCTGAATGGCTATGGGACCAGGAGAAAAACTTCACCTACAATATATGGCTTCCATCATTATTTAAATATAATTATCTAGGGCCAGCAAGATGGCTCAGAAGTTAAGATACCTGCCACCAAGCTTCGTAACTGAATTTGATTCCTGGAAATCATATGGTTGAAAGAACTGATTCTTTTTCTTTCTTTCTTTTTTTTTTTTTTTTTTAAAAAGATTTATTTATTTCTTATGTATACAGTGTTCTGTCTGCATGTATGCCTGCAGGCCAAAAGAGGGCACCAGATCTCATTACAGATGGTTGTGAGCCACCATGTGGTTGCTGGGAATTGAACTCAGGACCTCTGGAAGAGCAGTCAGTGCTCTTAACCTCTGAGCCATCTCCTCAAACCGAGAACTGACTCTTACAAGTTGTCTCTGACCTCTACAACCATTTCCAGGGACTTTCCTGCCACACACATACACACAAAATAAACAAAAATGTAACAAGATATTTATGTAAATAAACACCAGTAAAACCATTATCCAATAAATGCACCAAAACACTGACATATTTACCTCTCTACTCATTCTCCATAATAGTCTCCTTCACCCAGTCAAGCAACCATGTTGTCTTAGTTAGGGTTTCTATTACTGTGATCAAACACCATGACCAAAAAGCAAGTTGGGGAGGAAAGGGTTTATTTGGCTTACACTTCCACATTACTGTTCATCACTGAAGGGAGTCAGGACAGGAACTCAATCAAACAGGACAGGAACCTGGAAGCAAGAACTGATAGAGAGGCCACAAAAGGGGTGCTGCTTACTGGCTTGCTTAGTCTGATTTCTTATAGAACCCAGGACCACCAACCCAGGGATAGCACCACCTACAAGGGGCTGGATCCTCCCCCATTGATCACTAATTGAGAAAATGTCTTACAGCTGAATCTCACTGAGGCATTTTCTCAACTGAGGCTCCTTCCTCTCTCATGACTCTAGCTTGTGTTAAGCTGACACACAAAACCAGTCAGTACACATGTGAATCTTTTGCTTATTATTCCTTTGCTTTTAAAAGGTACCTGTCAAGCCAGGCACTGTAGCAGACATCTATAATTCCAGCATTTGGGAGCCAGAGGTAGGAGGGTTATAAATTCAAGGTAAACTTGGACTAAAGCAAGGCTTTACGTTTAAAAAACAAAGGAAAACAACCCAGAAAGCATGTACTACTTCTTCTTCTTCTTTTTTTTTTTTTCAAGACAGGGTTTCTCTGTGTGGTTTTAGAGCCTGTCCTGGGACTCGATCTGTAGACCAGGCTGGCCTCGAACTCATAGAGATCCGCCTGTCTCTGCCTCCCGAGTACTAGGATTAAAGGCGTGCGCCACCACTGCCCAGCAAGCACCTACTTCTTAACACTAACATATAGCACTGAAGCAGCTGAAGTAATATCTAGAGTGTTAACTTCAGCAACTGACCTACATTTAGGATCAGCATGTTGCTACAGAGCCAGCAAATGACAGTTGCAGTTTTCACCACAGCAGCAGGTTGAACTATATTAAAGATGAATCCTCTTCTCTGATGGAAGAGCTGCAGCTGTGGTTCTGATAGTCTAAGAACAAATGAAAACAAGTAGGAGGAAAAATTCTAATGGAAAGTTGTAAGAGAATTCAGTTAGCCCAATCACAAAGTTCTGAAACAACTAGCCCAGTTTTACAATACCATAAATTTTAAAAATTATTTTTTATTTTTATATGCATTGGTATCTGACCTACATGTTTTTGTGAGGGAGTCAGATTCACTGGAACTTGAGTTACAGACAGTTGTAAGCTGCTATGTGAGTGCTGGGAATTGAACCTGAGTCCTCTGGGAGAGCAGCCAGTGCTCTTAACTGCTGAGCCATCTCTCCAGACCCCTACAATACCATAATCTTAATTTAAAAGTTTAAAACATAACTGTGATCACTTCTATATTTATAAAAATTATGTTTTACTATATATCATTTAGTCCAAAACCTAGAGCACAAACAGCATAACAGAAAGGCTTTTATTGTTGTTTTTTTAGCCCCCCCCCCCCCCAAGACAGGGTTTCTCCATGTAGCCTGGGCTATTCTAGAACTTACCCTGTAGACCAGGCTGGCCTCGAAACCATAGAAAAATTACATCTCCAGAGCAGACACACAGGCCAGGTGTGGTAGTACATACCTTTTATCCTAGTACTTGGGATGCAAAGGTAGGTGGGTCTCTATTCAAGGCCATGCTCTCCCTGGCAAATTTCTCTGCTTTTACTGTCTGAGTTGCTCATTGATTTGAATTTACTGAAAGCACAAATTTATCTTCCAAGATCTACTCAAATATCACTGACTCATGGAAGCCTTGCCAAATCCTTCCAATGAAATCTGTCATGCATATCTCTACTAACCTTATATTCTAATATGGATCTTTTATACTTTGGTTATAGTAATACTGACTGCCTGCATTATATAGACTACTAGTCAGGTATTAAGTGTGACTAGAAGGCCCAGAAGCTTACAGGTTACATATTATTTGTCTTTTTAGATCTTTGTGCTTATGACTTTACATTTAAATTTTTTTTCTTTATTTTATGTGTATGAGTGGTTTTTTTGCCTGCATGTATATCTGTGCACCACATGCAGTACCTATGAAATTAAAGAAAGCACTGGATCTTCTGGGACTAGAGTTATAGGTTATGAACTGCCATATGGATGCTGGGAATCAAACTCTGATTTGATAAAAGCAAGTGCTCTTAACCACTGAGACATCATTCTAGCCCTATTAATTGACATTTAATGACAGCTTTCCAATTAAGGAATGGATTTAGTGCCTCTCCAAACCTGTAGCAGGAGATAGCTGATCCAGAATTATTTTCCTATGACAGATTAATATAGAATTAGAGAGAAAACTAAAATTATATATCCAGTTTCAGAATCTTTAGGATTTTCATTAGATGATATTCACAGGTAATTATATATGGTGTTTCTGTAACATATATGGTGACTTGATCCTGTCACTCTAGCATTCAAGAGGCTGAGGGAGGAGGATCACCACATAGTCAGTCAGCTTGAGCTATACATTTGAGTTCCAGTTCTGCAAGAACATCCCCACCCACATACACACACAGATAGCTCTGGAGTTTAATCCCTAGTACTACATGGGTCTGGTGGTACATGCCTGTAATCTTAGCACTTGGGAGGATCAGAAGTTTAAGGTCACCCTCCACTATACAGTGAGTTCAAGGCCAGCCTAACTCAAATACAAACACACACAGAGAAGTAGGGGAAGTGGAGGGTGGGGATGGGGAGCCGTCGAGACTTACCATCATCTAAAGTGATATCCTGCAGACCAATGGTTGCAAAGTTAGGTTCCTGATCTTCAGGTTCAGGTTTAATGCTCACAGCTGTTCCACCAGCTGGAAATGACGCTGGATCACACAGACTGTGACATACTAAAGATGAAAGTGCAGAAAGACCTCCTTGGCCTGTATTTTGTGCTTGAGTTGAGTGCTGTCCAGAATGCATTCTGGTAGCTGGAGATGGTGATGAGGCAGTTCCTGAGCTAGGAGATTGATAAGGCATAGTCTGCAGTTGAGGGGATGATGGCCCAGAAAGCGGTGAACCAGCCAGGGGATGGGAGGCTGCTGGGGAAGCTGCTGTAGCAGATCCTGGATGTGAAGGACAGTATGTAATAGGTTGTAAATGAGAAGGCTGACCTGTGACCTGATCTGCCACTGGAGAAGAAAGAGATCTTTGTCTTGTGTTTGAACAATGGTATCCCATTGACTGCAGATGAGGTGGGGTTTGCACAGAATGAGGTGAATGTGCTAAGAGATGTCCTGTTGCATCTGAATTTGAAGAATGAAATGGTACTGGTGACAGTGGTTGACAGCCAAGGTTTACTAAACTAGAAAGAGTTGCATCCTGCTGAAACAAAACAGGATCAAATTCTTGACTAGAGGCAGGATTCATAGGAAGACAAGTTGGTCCATTATACATATTAGTTTGTATAGACTGATAGGAAGACCCCATAGGAGATGTTGATGTAACTTGAAAAGGCTGGTGCATGACTGAAGACGGTGTTATGTGCTGTTCTTTACCAGCACCCTCGTCCCTACAATGCAACTGTGGCATATGGGATGAGGTTATCATAGATGCATATGCTGGCTGGACTGGACAAATCAAGCTTCTCGATGCTGACAACACATTGTCATGTGGGTGCCCTGTATCTGAGGAAGGCCTCTGGGTCTGGGCAGAATGAGGCACAGGTAAGGATGGAACTGAAGACAAATCAGTATCTTCTCTTTGTTCTTGCTTCATCAAAACTGAAAATAAATGATTAAAGCAAATGTTATTATGTAGTTCAAAAAAGGATTATGACATAACTTAATTCTATAACTCTAGGGTTCATAACTATAACATGTATGAGGATGAACTCAATGTCTTTAGAGAAGGAAATTCAGGTAAAATGTTTTATTTGTGTGCATACATATATGTATTCATACACACACATACACAAATATTTTTGGTTTAAAAAAATACATTCATTCATTCTGTTTGTGTAAGTGCATATACATGGCAGGGCACATGTGTGGAGATCAGAGGACAGCTTGTTGGAGTTAGCTCTCTCCTGTTATCATTCAGGTTCTGAGGATCAAACTCAGGTCATCAGGTTTAGCAGCAAGTACCTTTATTCACTGAGCCAACTCAATAGTCCTTTTTATGCTTTTTGCGTGTTTTTCATCATGTGTACATTATCATTCAAAAGTAATTTAATTCAAAAATAAAAAAGTAAAAAATAAATAAAATAAAATAAAAAACAAGCATAGTGGCACATATCTTTAATCCCAGAACTCCTGAGGAAGAGGCAAGCAGATCAGTTCAAGATGAGCATGGTATACACAGCAAGTACTAGGCCAGACAAAGCTACTTAAGGAGATTCTGTCTCAAAAAACAAACAAAATAAATGACATTTATATATGAAAATGCCACAATGAAACCTACTACTTTTATGTTAACTTAAAAAAATTAAATATGGGGGGGGGGGCAGGGACACGATACGACTGTGGAGATGGCTCAGTAGGAAAATGCTTGCTGCATAACTGTGAGGGCCTGAGTTTGAATCCCCAAAACCCACGCAAACAAACAACAACAACAAAAGTCAGGTTTTTTTGTAATTCCAGTGTTGCTTCAGCAAAACGGGAGAGAGGACACAGGAGAATCCTAGACGCTCATAGGCCAGCTAGTCTGTCATAAGTAGTGGCCAAAAACTAAACAGAGACCCTCTCTTAAACAAGACACAAGGCAAGGACTGACAGCTGAGAGCTGAGGTTGTTCTCTGACCTCAAACATGGGCCATGGCAAGCATAGTGCTTATCACTCATATAAATACTCATGTGTGCAGGTGCACATAACACACAAGAAATGTTTAAAACATAATTTAAAAAGAGAATGATTGTTAAATGTAAAAAACAAGAAAAACCACCCAAAATAGTCCTACAGCCTATAAAGTAGTGAATCTAGGATTCCTAATCTGAAACTACAACTCATGTGGTAGGTTTAATTCTCTACCACCATGGGACTATCAAAAGAAAAACTGAAAACAGATGAGGTAGCACACACCTGTAATCCCAGTGCTTGGCAGACGAAGATAGAATAGTAAGATAGGAGGTAGCACACACCTATAATTCCAGCACTTAGCAAAACAAACACAGGAGAACAGCTTGGGCTATCTAATCCCTGTTTAAAGAAATCAAAAACTAAAACCAAAAGAAAAAAACCAAAAAACAGCAAAAAAATAACGTAAAGAAGAAAAAGTACCAAAATCCAGAAGAAGCCAATAAACAAATTCAACAAAGTTGAGTACACAAAACCAATACATAAGACCAGGCCTGGTGACACCAGGTTTGATCCCAGCACTCAGGAGGCAGATGCAGGTGGGTCTCTGATTTCCAGGCCAGACTGGTCTACAGAGCAAGTTCTAAGATAGCTAGAGCTACACAGAGAAACCCTGTCTTGAAAAAAGAAAAAGAGCCGGGCAGTGGTGGCGCACGCCTTTAATCCCAGCACTTGGGAGGCAGAGCCAGGCGAATCTCAGTGAGTTCGAGGCCAGCCTGGGCTACCAAGTGAGTTCCAGGAAAGGCGCAAAGCTACACAGAGAAACCCTGTCTCGAAAAACCAAAAAAAAAAAAAAAAAGAAAACAAAAGAACCCAACACATTAAAAAAATTATTTCTATGTAGTTACAGTAAATAATGTTAATCGAAATTCTAGAGCCAAGTATCATAGTTCACAACTATAACCTAGCTCTTAAGAGACCAAGTCAGGGATTTCAGGAGGCCAGCCTGAGTTATACAGCAAGACCCTCCCTCAAAAATAAATAAATAATTTAAATTAATTTCATAGAGCTAGAGAGATGGTTCAGTTGTTAGGTGCACTAGCTGCTCTCAGGGGACTGAGGCTTGATTACCAGCACCCATACTGTAGCTAACAACAGTTTATTTTTTTTTTTTAAAGTGCATTGGTGTTTTGCCTGCATATATCTGTATGCAGGTTCCAGACCCTCTGGAACTTGAATTACAGACAGTTGTGAACTGCCATGTAGGATTCTCTGTAAGAGTAGCCAGCATTCTTAATGACTGAGTCTCCCATCCCCAATACCCAGTTTACAGCAAGCAGTCTATAACTCCAGTCCCAGGGAATCCAATGCTCTCGTGGCCTCCTGAGACACACATGCAGGCCAAATACTCATACACAAAAAAATTAAATAATTTTTGTTTCTGTTTTTTTGGGACAGGGTTTCTTTGTGTAACAAACAGCCCTGGTTATCCTGGAACTTGCTCTGTAGATCAGGCTGGTGCTTTTACTCACAGAGGTCCTCCTGCCTCTACCTCCCAAGTGCTGGTATTAACGGTGTGCACCAACACTGTAGCTTTGTGTCTTTCCTGGATCTCGCTTTGGAGACCAGGCTGGCCTCGAACTCACAGAGATCCGCCTGGCTCTGCCTCCGAGTGCTGGGATTAAAGGCGGGTGCCACCACCGCCGGCAAGAAAGCCTACTCTTAGACATGCATGATGCTTCATACCTACAATTCCAGCTAACAGGAAGAGGATAAGAGCGGAGACTGGCAAGTTCAAGGCCTGCACAAACAACTTAGTGAGGCCTTGCCTCAAAAATAAAAAAGTTAGCTGGGTGTGGTAACACATGCCTGTATCTCAGCACTCTTAATGCTAAGGCATGAGAATCCTGGGTCTGGGACCAGCCTGGACTTTTTTTCACCAAATTGAGTTCCAATTCATTCTGGGATACAAAGCAAGACCCTTTCTTAAAGGAATGAAAAAAAAGGGGGAAGCTAGGAAAGGAGGAGGGAAGAGACGAGAGGAGGAAGGCAGCCAGGCAAGCTCGCTCACTACTACTATCATCTCTTAATTCTGATAAGGAGACCTTGGTAATATAACTGGTTGCTCATCATGAACTAAAAAAAAAGAGACAATGCAGATGGATGTGGTGGTACATGACTGTAATCCCAGGACTTAGAAGGTAAAGAAAGGAGAATTTGGAATTTAAGGCAGCCTTTGTTACACAGGAAGTCCGAGGTTAAGGCTTGGTTGGGCTAAGGCTGTCTCAAAAACATAAAATAAGGAACTAAAAACTATAGTAGAACAACTACCTTTTTTCTTTGCCATGCTCAATACTTATTACTATGTTTCTGACCCACATCTGCATGCTCAAATTGAAAATGTTGCTGTTGTGTTAGTTCCATTTTGTCAAACCAAATATTACTACTTTTTTTTTTAAAGTATGTAAGGGGTAGACACTCTAACCTGAACAAATCAGAGTCCTCACTATTGGCCCATTCATGGTAATTTATTTACTCTTGCTGGGATAGAAAATACAGTTAAAGAGGCCTTATACAGAATGAGTTCAATTTTTGAAACAGATAAATTTTTATGACATATATGCTCACTCTTAAATTTTATTTTATTTTTTTAAAGATTTATTTATTTATTATGTATACAGTGTTCTGTCTGCACGTATCCCTGCAGGCCAGAAGACCGCACCAGATCTCATCACAGATGGTTGTGAGCCACCATGTGGTTGCTTGGAATTGAACTCAGGACCTTTGGAAGAGCAAGCAGTGCTCTTAACCTCTGAGCCATCTCTCCAGCCCCTCATTCTTAAATTTTAAATACTAATTTATATAGGGATCCAAAAGAAAAACAAAACAACAACAACAAAACCAAAACCAAAACCCCCAACAACAAACCCCCTCCAACAACCCATCTAGTGGTCTAATGATTTTCAAGCCATGGGTAGACTCACGCTTTCCTTTAAGTAGAGGAGGTGAAAGAGCAGGATTAAAGAATAGCAGCCCTTCTTCTCCAGGATAAACACAGCAGCTTAGCAATCTCTACCATGGACAGGTATGTATTCATTTTTTTACAGTTTTTTTTTTTAAAAATTGTTATTACTATTGTTTGGAGTCAGAGTTTCAAGTAGCCCAAGCAGCCTCAAACTCATTATGTAGCTGAGGATGATTCTGAATTTCTGATCCCCCTTCCTCTACTTTCCAAGTGCTAGAATCACAGGCAAATACTACAGTATCCTTTATGCATGCTAAGTAAGTACTCTACTGACTGACATTCCCAATTCTGTTTTGTTTCTTTGATACAGGGTCATGTTGTCTAGCCCTGCCTAGTCTCAAATCCAAGACAATCCTCCTTGGCCTCTTGGGTGCTATAAATACAGGTAAATACTATCACATCTGGCTTGGTTTTACATTTTTATATGAAAAATAAAGCAAACCATTGAAAACTACTTGAAATCAGTTTGGTCTTAGATACTTAAAATTACTTTTTATTTTTTTTGGTTTTTCGAGACAGGGTTTCTCTGTGCAGCTTTGGAGCCTGTCCTGGAACTCACTCTGTAGCCCAGGCTGGCCTCAAACTCACAGAGATCCTCCTGCCTCTCCCTCCCGAGTGCTGGGATTAAAGGCGTGCGCAACCACCACCTGGCAAAATTACTTTATTTTATTATCTTATGTGTATGGGTTTTGCCTGAATATATGGCTGTATATACATGCCTGGTGCCCAAGGAGACCAGAAAGTGGTGTCGAATCCCATGGGACTGGCGTTCTAGATGGTTTGTGAACAGTCATGTAGGTACTGGAAATTGTACCTAGGTACTCTAAAAGAGCAGTCAGTGCTTATGACCCTCAAACTGTCTCTATAGCTCCCTTACTTGATGGGTACTACCACTGTTATATAACTAGACCCGATTTCCTGAATCTAGGGCAGGTTTTCTCCACATAATCACATGCCTATAATCCTATATATGGGAGGCTAAGAGATAAGTACCTCATGTTGAAGACAACCTAGGCTACCTAGTTCAGACCATCTAGGCTATACAGTGAGATTCTGTCACAAACAAACAAATAAATATAAATTACTTAGATTATATATTATACATTCCCACAGGGACAATAACTTCATTATTCCAAAATTACAGCTCTGATTGCAATTCTACTACAAATAACTTCTGCTAGGCACAGAGGTTGGTATGTTGTTTCAATAGCTTCAGAGATGTTGACGTGATGCAGGGGCTTCCAGTTTGGAAAATCTGAAGTCACAGGCTGGACAGAAGTTCAGGCAGCACTACTAGAGTAGAATGTTGTATTCTACTACAACTTTTACCAGGGACCCACATAGTGGAGAGAACCAACTCTTGTAATTGTCCCCTGACCTCCACACACACTGTAGCACACATATAGACATGCATACCAACACACAAGTAAGTCAATGCAATAAAAACAATTAAAAGATAAAATGATCAGTTACAAATTTTATATATATATATGTATATATATATATATATACATATATATATATGAGATAAACCCATTTCCATTATTCAAAAGTTATCTGTCATTGGTGTCATGGCCCTGAAATTTTATTACTTCAGAGGCACACAGGCAGAAGCAAGAGGATCACAGGTTTAGAACTGCCTGGTCTACAGAAATCCAAAACACACAGGTATTTTAGACATGATTTTAGAAAGATATTTAAGTAATGGAATGTTTTGGTAAAATAAAAGAAAAAAATTCAAAATTCATTTTAGAAAAAAGAGAGATGTTAGCGAGAGAGTCATCAACCCTAACAAGGACTGTCCAAACACCCTTGTGTGACCATTCTTCCTTTAGTCAGCATATGCCCCTCTTATTTCTATCCTGAAAATAAAGTGTCAGTGATAATAGTTACAGTCCAATCCACTGTTCTTCCCCATCCCCGGGACTCTACTGATTTTCATTTTGATATGTAATGCCAGTAGGACTCTATCTTTAAAGTGTCCTCCCAATTCATGAGGTGGTAACAAGAAAGCAGCATGGCCTCCCCTGTCTGCTTTTACCCTTTAATTACTACCACTATTAGGTAGTAATCAACACCTCTAATTTGCTCACCCTACTGCTTCTTTTTTTTTGCAATTACAGAAGCATTCTTCCTCATTCAGGACAGAGATGAGTTGCGTCATAACAGTACTTGATAACATCTGAGTGCAGCACCAGGAAGTTACACAGCTAAGCATGGAGGTGTATGTGTTTAATCCCAGCACTCAGGAAGCAGAAGCAGAGACAGGCAGACCTCCATGAGGTCAAGACCAGCCTGGTCTACTACAAAGCTAATTCCAGGCCAGGCAGAGATATACAGTGAGACCCTGTCTCAAAAAAACCAAAATCAAAACAAAAAAACAAACAACAGCAGCAACACCAAAACGAAAACAAACAAATCCTAAAAGTAACACAACACGGAGAGTTAGATCTATAAATTCATGAGTATGGGAATCAGAGTATTATCCTCTTCAGTCCATTCCAACCTCTAGTTTGTTTGAAACATGGTCTCATTACACAGCCCAGGATGTAATTCATGATCTTCTTGCCTGTCTTACCTTCTGAGTACTAAGATTACATAGATATGTCATCATGGCTGGCTTTAACTTCTATATTTTAAAAATCTTACTCCTTTTCACCTTCCTCAGAAATTTGATATTCTTGTTTTGGTTTAAGAACGGGTCTCACTATGTAGCTCTGGCTGCCCTGGAACTATAGAACAGGCTGGCCTCAAATTCACAGAGATCCGCCTACCTCTGCCACGCAGAAATTTAATATTCACTGATACTCCCATTCCTGAATATTTAAAATACACTTTCACTGTTTGAGTCACTTTCTTTTTAACTTCTGTGGGCTCCTGACATATGAATCTAACTCTCCACAGTTAAGAATTAAAAAACAAACAAACAGCCGGGCGGTGGTGGCGCATGCCTTTAATCCCAGCACTCGGAGGCAGAGGCAGGCGGATCTCTGTGAGTTCGAGGCCAGCCTGGACTACCAAGTGAGTTCCAGGAAAAGGTTCAAAGCTACACAGAGAAACCCTGTCTCGAAAAAACCAAAAAAAAAAAAAAAAAAAAACAACAAACAAACAAACAACCCTACTAAACTACTCACTGACATAGAATGAATGAATGGCCTAGCACTTGCTATGTACCCCAAGGATGTTTGAAACTCATCTTCCTGCCTCTGTCTCCAAAGTGCTTGGATTAATTATAGGGAGTCCCAGGTGGTTCTGGAAATTGAACTCAGAGCCAGGCAAAAATTCTACTACTGAGCTACATCCCAAGCCCTGAAAATGTCATGTCCCTGTTACACATTATATCTTATAAGTCTCATAAAATTCTACGATCCCATTAGCCACAAGAGCTTTGTATGATTAATACACACACACACACACACACACACACACACACACACACACACACAACCCTTAATAATAACCAGTATTATGTGGTGGCATATACCTGTTATTCTAGCACCCAGGAGGATAGTCAAGAGTTTTAGGTCAGCCAGGGCTACAGATTGAATCCCAGGCCAGTTATAGAGTGAGAACCAACCTGTCTCAAAAAAAAAAAAAACAAAAAAAAAAAAAAACAAACACCCTTCTGAATAAACAAACAACCAGCAACCTCTCAAACAAAATAAAATGTTGATTTCTTTTCACTTAGTATATACAAGGTAAAAGTTTTTGCAAGAGGAGACGGAGAGATGGCTAAGAGCACTGATTACTCCTAGCACCCACATGGGGCTCAACTATCTGTAACTGCAGTTTCAGGGCATCTGAAGCCTTCTCTGGCCTCTCCCAACACTGGGCATGCATGCAGTACACAGACATCCATGCAGGCAAAACACCCATACATAGATAAAAATTTAAATTAAATTTAAACAAGTTTTTGAAAGAGTAAATCTTGGAGAGGAAGGTTCATTACAATTTTTTAAAATTATTATTATTCTATGTCTTGGTGACAAGCATAATGCCTACCACAGAAGACCTCTATAAATATTCTTTTTATTAAATTTTTCTAAGTGTTTGTTCTTTAAATAATGTAACCATTGGACTGGAGAGATGGCTCAGAGGTTAAGAGCACCGACTGCTCTTCCAGAGGTCCTGAGTTCAATTCCCAGCAACCACATGGTGGCTCACAACCATCTGTAATGAGATCTGGCACCCTCTTCTGTATACATAATAAATAAAGTAAATCTATAAAAAAAATAGCTGGTGATCATTTAAAAAAAATAAATAAAAAAAATAATGTAACCATTAGTATATATTATTAAATGTAAGTTATGTCAAAAAAAAAAAAAAAACAAAAACAAAAAACACTGGAGCTGAGTGGTGCTGGTGCACACCTTTAATCCCAGCACTTGGGAGGGAGAGGCATATAGATCTCTGTTTGAGGTTAGCTTGGTCTACATAGGGAGTTATAGGGCAGTCAGGGCTACAGAGAAACCTTGTCTCAGAAAAAATAATGAAGACACCATGAAGTGGACAGACTACCTTTCTTTGGTGGTAAAAGCACAATGGAAGTTTACGAACCAAGAGCATACACACTTTCCCTTCTTACAGTGATGGTGATTTCTGAGAACTTCTGAAGAGTTCAAACCTATATTCCATCTTTTAATCCTAATATTTAAAGTCAATACAAATCCTAATAATATGTTGGAGCTGGGCAGTGGTGGCACCCACCTTTAAACCCAGCAATCAGAAGGCAGAGACAGGTGGATCTCTCTGAGTTCGTGGCCAGCCTGGTCTATAGAGTGAGTTCCAGGAAAGCCAGGGCTACACAGAGAAAAGGTGTCTTGAAAAACAAGGGGAAAAAAAAAATACGTTGGCATTACATTAAACATTTTCATGCAAGATTCTTATTATGAAAGAAAGATCTAAACCATCACATTTTCTTGTACCTGGTGTGTAAGTAAAACGTTGAGACTGGCTTTTTTTCCTCTTGCCATTGCAAAGATAAAAGTGCACCTGCACTGCAGCTGTAACTGCTGGGTTATGGTAGGGAGGAACTTCAAGGACAATGTGACCCTAAGGAACAAGGAAAGCAAAGTTATGTTATACCCAGAACTAAAAATGAAATGCACCTGCCAAATCCAGAGCAACTCATGAGACTTAACTCTTAACACAAGGGTCTTCTCGTCACAGAAAATTATGCACATCAACTAGTCATATAAGTCATCTCGAGATTTATTTACATCAGCATCTTGTAGACAGAGACAAAGTCTTTAATCATTAAAAAAGAAACTGATTTTTACCCACCCAATTGTCTTTCTAGTTGTAGCAAAAATTAAGAGTTTTTAGGCATGGTGATGCACATTTATAACCCCAGCACTCAGGAGGTAGAGGCAGACAGATCAAATTCAAGGTCAACCTGAGCTACATTGTTAAGATCTTTTAAAATAAATAGATACCATCTCATTACATACTATGTACTGAAATATGTGACTCTATTGAACATTCAGGTTATTTTATATACATATAACATATATATATGATATATATATATCATATATATATATATATCTTAATGGGAGGCCCAATTTAGTATATGATCATGTTTAACAATTCTCAAGTTGTACTATAGTTTTCTTTTTAAAATTTTAAATGTATGAGTGTTTGCTTAAAAGTATGTTTGTACACATGTATGTAGTACCCAAGGAGGGCAAAAAGATGTTGGATCCTCTGGAACTGTTGTTACGAAAGGTTCTTAGCCACCATGTGGGTACTGGGGACCAAACTCAGGTCCTCTGCAAGAGCAATAAGTGCTCTTACCTGCTGATCCATATGGGTTAGATTTCTTAGCATGAGTTTTATATTCAAAACATCCAAGTTGGAAGTATATAAAACCTATATGCACATACAAAGTAAAAAACTTTATCCAAAACCAAATCTAATCATCAATTTAACTGTTTCGTGTCTTTAGGAAGCATGTGGAAAGTAGTATTTTCTAGTCTAGAAAAGATTGTCTTTATTCCAATCAAGATGCAAGATCACAGCTTCTTTCAGTAAGGATTCTGGAAGGCTTAATGAGTAGCTGTGGTGTTAGGAAGTATGTTTAGTGACAAATCACTATGGCTTGTCCCAACATATATGTTCATTTTGATTCTTTTTTTCAAGACAGGGTTTCTCTGTGTAGCTCTGGCTGTCCTGAAATTCTGTAGACCAGGCTGGCCTCAAACTCAGAAATCTGCCTGCCTTTGCCTCCTGAGTGCTGGAATTAAAGGTGTGTGCCACCACTGCCAGGCTTGATTTTTTTTAAAAGATTTATTTATTTATTACGTATATAGTGCTCTGCCTGCATGTATGCCTGTACACCAGAAAAGGGTACCAGATCTCCTTCTAAGTAGTTGTGAGCAACCATGTGGTTGCGAGGAATTGAACTCAGGACCTCTGGAAGAGCAGCCAGTGCTTTTAACCTCTGAGCCACCTCTCTAGCCAGTTTTAATTTTTTTTTAATGAAGCAAAGTTGGTGTTTTTTTAAGAAAAGGATAGTAACTATTCAAAAAAAAGTATAGTCACTATCCTAGTTGGGGCTAATATTGTTGTAATGAAATGCCATGACCAAAGCAACTTGGGGAGGAAAGGGTTTATTTGGCTTACACTTCCATATTATTGTCACCATGGAAGGAAGTTAGGACAGAAACTCAAACAGGGCAGGAACCTGGAGGCAGGTGCTGATGCAGAGGCCATGGAGGATGGGTACTGCTCACTAGTTAGTTCCCCACGGTTTGCTCAGCTTGCTTTCTTATAGAACCAAGGATCACCAGCCCAGGAGTAGCCCCACTCACAATGAACAGGGCCCTCCTACATTAATTACTAATAAGAAAATGCCCTTCAAGCTTGCCTGCAGCCTGATTTTATGGAAGCATTTTCTCAATTGAAGCTCACTCTTCTCCAGTGACTTTAGTTTATATCAAGTTGATATAAAACTAGCCAGAACAGTCACTTAGTGGGGCTGGGAGAAACATGCTATTAGCCTTGAACTTGTTATTTAGCCTTGGATGGCCTCAGACTTATCATCCTCCTGGTCTGCCTCTTGAGTGCTGTAGATTCAGGCTAGTATCACCACACCTAGCCTGTCTCTGCCTACCAAGTGCTGGGATTAAAGGCATGTGCCACTAATACCCCGCTTGTTTATTTTTCTTAAACTTTAATCCAAATACCAGAAAAGTATCACACTTCCAAACTTCTAAAAATAGTAATTTACTTTTCTTTTTCTCAATATTCTTTCCCATACCATAAAGCTGCATTATTCAATCTTCTGAGTTTCTTAAACACTTTTTCCTTTTTTGGGTGGATAGGGCCTCACAACAAAGACTAGGCTGGCCTTCTACTCATAGACATGTACCTAACTCTGCCTTCCAAGTTCTGGGATTAAAGGCATATGTCACCATGCATGGCCTTATACTACTTTTTTTTATAAAAATTTTCTTTTAGATGTATGTATTTTTATTTTATGTGTCTAAGTTTTTGCCTGCATATAGGTATATGTACCGTGTGTGCCTGAGATCAGAAGAGGAGATTAGGTCCCCTGGAACTGGAGTTATAGATAGCTGTACTCACTATGTGAGCACTAGGAATTGAACCCGGGTCCTCTTCAAGAGGAACAAGTGTCCTTAACCACTGAGTCATCTCTCCAGCCCCGCTTAAATCCTTCTTACTAATTAAATAATTAAGCTGACTTTCTTACCCCTTGACATTTTTCCCTGATTACTTTTCCTTCAGCCTCCCAATGAGGTCTTCCATCTATTGAAAGAAAAAATTTACAGTTAAAAGCAATTCAAGTTTGAAAACAGAAAATCTATTCTATGTAGCATCACAAATATTGGTAGAGAGAATATTTTTCCTCATAGATGTCCAGTTAAAAAAAAAGAGAGAGAGCCAGGTAGTGGCACAGACTTTTAATCCCAGGCAGAGGCAGGTGGATCTCTGTGAGTTTCAGAAAAGCCTGGTCTACAGAGTGAGTTCCAGGACAGACAGGGCTACACAGAGAAACCTCGTCTTGAAAAAGACCAAAGTTGGTATTCTTCTCCTTCTTCTATTCCTTTTATTCTTAGTTTTGGTCTTTTCATGGTGTCCCAAATTTCTTGGACATTTTGTGTTACAACTTTTTTGGCTTTAGTGTTTTCTTTGACTGACGAATCTATTTTCTCTATTGTGTCTTCAACATCAGAGATTCTCTGTTCCATCTCTTGCATTCGGTTGGTTATGCTTTTCATTTGTAGTTCCTGATCGTTTAGTCAGAATTTGTATTTCCAGCATTCCCTCAGTTTGTGTCTTCTTTATTGTCTCAATTTCAATTTTCAAATCTTGAACTGTTTCCTTCATCTGTTTAATTACTTTTTCTTGGCTTTCTTTGATTTCTTCTAATTTTTTGTTTGTTTATTCTTACATTTCTTTAAGGGAATTTTGTATTTCCTCTTTAAGGGAGTTTTTCATTTCCTCTTTAAGGGCCTCTATCATTTTCTTAAAGTCATTTTTAGGATTGATTTTTTTCTGCTTCTTCTGCATTGGCTTGTTCAGGTCTTGCAGGTGTAGAATCACTAGGTTCTGATTTTGTCATATAGGTCTTGCAAAGGACAATCAAACTGCAACCCACAGATCCAGGGAGGCTACCGAACAGGGGGGAATCTTAGGATGACTGTGGCTTATAATAAGTTTTGGTTTTACTCAATCACTGGGCAAGCATCAGTGAAACATTTCACTATTAGGATAAGAATTTGTACTGTATCAAGCTGATGATAGAAAAAGAAAGAAAAGAAAAGAAAAGAAAGAAACCAAAGAACTTAAGGTCAGCCTGGACTGTATGGGTTAATTAAGATGAGGGATCTGATTGAAAGGGGAAGGAAGAGGCCAGGCGGCAACCCTAAGTATCTGATTATTCTTTCTTTCTTTCTTTGTTTTTTTTTCAAGACAGGGTTTCTTTATGTAGTTTTGGTGCCTGTCCTAGATCTCATTTTGTAGACCAGGCTGGCCTCGAATTCACAGAAATCCACCTGGCTCTGCCTCCCAAGTGCTAGGATTAAGGCATGCACCACCACCGCCCGGCAAGAATGTTTTTTATTCATATCTTTGCACTTGGGAAGCAGAGGCACGCAGATCTCTGAGTTTGAGGCCAGCCTGGTCTACAGAGCGAGTTCCAGGATAGCCAGGGTACACAGAAACAAAAACAAAACAACAAAAAAAAGATATTTTGATAATAACTGGCTAATTTCATCCCTTTAAAGTATGCAACTTAGGATATTCACCGAGTTGTACAACTAACTACTAATTTCAGATCATTTTTTATCATCCCTAGTCCCTTCCAATGACTTCAAACAACTGCAAAACACTAAATCTACTTCCTATCTTAGTGAATTGCTTATTCTACGTATTCTGTGATGGCTTCTTTTAATATCTTCAATACTGACCCATGTTGCAACATGCATGAGTAGTACTTTGTTAATTTTTACTTTTATATTTATTTTTGTTTTTCAAGACAGGGTTTCTCTTTGTGCAGCCCTGGCTGTCCTGGAATTCAATCTTACAGACCAGGCTAGCCTTGAACTCAAAGAGATCCGCCTAACTCTGCTTCCTGAGTGCTGGGATTAAAGGCCTGCATTAATTCTTATGGCCAAATGATATTCCACTTATGTATGATGATTAGTTTTTTTGGGTTGTTTTTTTTTGGTTTTTCAAGACAGGGTTTCTCTGTGTAACATCCCTGGCTGTCCTGGAACTCGCTTTATAGACCAGATTGGCCTCAAACTCACACAGATCCGCCTGCCTCTGCCTCCCAAGTGCTGGGATTAAAAGTGTGTGAGCCATTACTGTTTGAAGACGATTAATTTTTTTTTTTTTTCCGAGACAGGGTTTCTCTATGAAGCTTTGGTGCCTGTCCTGGATCTCACTCTGTAGACCAGGCTGGCCTCGAACTCACAGAGATCCGCCTGGCTCTGCCTCCCGAGTGCTGGGATTACAGGCGTGCGCCGCCAACACCACCCGGAAAGACGATTAATTTTAATTGTCAACTTGACACACTCTAGAGTTGCCTGGTCAGAGTCTCAACTATTTAGATCAAGCTGGCCTGAGGGAAGCCTGTGCGGTATTGTCATAAACTGTGGATGTGACTGGTTGCTTCAAGTTCCTGCTTTTACTTCCCACCAGAAGAGCTGTAACCTGGAATCATCAACCAGAAATCCCCTTGTCACCTAAATGTCAGGGTATTTTATCAAAGCAACAGAGACAGAACTAGGACAGTGTGGATACAATACATTGTTTGTATCTGTTCATCAGCTGGTAAGGATTTAATTCTTCCCATTTTGGAGCTATTATGAAAAATTCTGCCATAAACATTTGTATCTCAGCTTTTGTGTGGGCATGGTCTCCGTTTTCTGAGTGTGTATCAAGGAGTAGAAATGCTGGATGGCTGGGCGGTGGTGGTGCACGCCTGTAATCCCAGCACTTGGGGGGCAGAGCCAGGCGGATCTCTGTGAGTTCAAGGCCAGCCTGGTCTACAGAGCGAGATCCAGGACAGGCACCAAAACTACACAGAGAAACCCTGTCTCGAAAAACCAAAAAAAAAAAAAAAAAAAAAAAGAAGAAAGAAAAAAGAAATGCTGGATGAATTCTATTTTTAATATGCCATTAAAGAGAATTTAATATTCATATGTAAATTTATTAACTGTAAGTTCTCAATTATACCCAGTGCTTAGATGATGCCCATAGCTTTAGGAAAACTATTTGGTGATTAATATGACTGAAATCTATACATAATTTATTTTATTCTTTCATCACTTAGACTGAAGTTAATTTGTATCCTATATTAGTTACCTTGTCCTTTTTCAAGAAAAATGATTTTGGATTCTGGAAGAAAATTAGATCCAGTCACAACCATTTCATGGCCTCCATTGACAGAGCAACTGTTGATACTGTACTTTTCAATATGAGGGAGCTCTTGAGCAGATCGCTGAGCTATTTTAAGAGTTAAGAAAAACAAAATATTATTTTAAAATATTTCACACATACAAGATGAGCTCAAACTATAAAATAAACATTGAGATTAATTAATTTAGGCTTCTGAAATTCAAGACAATAGTAATAATTCTTATTAAAATAGCTAACATGTTTAGAAACAAGAAAGTTATACAAATTGGTACAAAATTATTTCTTAGACTACAACAGCAAAAAAACATGATAAAGTTAATGTCTTTAACTTCATATTGGCTCCCATACATTTACCTAATATTTTATTTTTAATTTAACCTCTTGAGTATATATTTTCCACAGAACTGTTAAAATTTACAAATCTAATTACAAAAAATCAAGTCCAGGGCCTGGAGAGATGGCTCAGCAGGTAAGAGCACTGGCTGCTTTTCCAGAGGTCCTGAGTTCAATTCCCAGAAACCACATGGTGGCTCACAACCATCTGTAATGAGATCTGGTGGTCTCCTCTGGTGTGCAGGCATACATGCAGACAGAACACTGTATACATAATAAATAAATAAGTCTTAAAAAAAAAATCAAGTCCAAAGATATGTAATTAAACTATGATCAATTAAGAGAAGATAAATCTAAATAATTACTATAGGACAAATAACCCTTTCCTTAAGAGAATACTCAACCATCATCACAACATTAGGCTCATATGGTAGACAATTTTTAAAATAAATTACTAAAACATAAATGAAACACATATTTTACTATTTAATTTCTAAAAGGAGCTGTGTTTCTGCAATGACTACATTTCTCTACCTCCACAGGGTTTGAGGAACACGATCTGATCTTCTCATGCAGTGTCACTTAACTATCAAAAAGTGGTTTTTGTTCTACCCTCACCTGCTACTTCCTGTTCTGAACTGCTAAGCTATATTTTTCTAGTTTGTGTGTGTGTGTGTGTGTGTGTGTGTGTGTGTGTGTGTGTGTGTGTGTAACAGTTTATCCTTTCCTTTTTCCAAAATAAAACAGGGACTCTTGATCTGGCTCAGATGTTAAGAGCACTTGTGAGCTGAATGTGGTGATGCGCACCTTTAATCTCAGAACTTGAGAGGCAGAAGGAGGTGGATCTCTGTGAGTTCAAGGCTAGCCTGGTCTACATAGTAAGCTTCAGGCCAGCCAAAGCTACATAGTGAGACCCTATCTCAAACAAAACAAAACACAAACAAAAAAGAAAAGAGCACGTGTTGCTCTTTCAGAAAATTGGAGTTCAATTCCCACCAGCCACATGGTGGTTCACAACTACCTGTGACTCCAGTTCCTGGGGATCTGATATCCTCTCCTGACCTCTCCAGGCACAATGCACACATGTGGTACATATACACACATGAAAGCAAAACATACACATAAAATAAAAAATAAAATTAAAAATTTGTGTGTGTGTGTGTGTGTGTGTAACAAAACCACAGTAACAACCATAAAGTACTAGTAATACTTGTGTTCTAAGCACAAGTCCATCAACAACAGACAAATAACCTTGTATGAACACATGGGCTATCTTTGTCTCAGTTTCCACTATACCTGTTTACATCATTCTCAATTATTCAGTCATACCAGCTAACCTTCTGAGACCTACAGGTCTACCAGGCTTAACTGCATCTCAAGTTCTAGGACCTTTTCTCATACCTTATGTTTGTAAATCAGAGGTAAAAATCACCCACTTTTTGAAATGGATGTCATAATTTATAGTATTAAAAAACAAAAACAAACAAACAAAATCCTTTAGCTTGTCATGTAGGTACATGCCTTTAATCTCAGCATTCTGGAGGGAAAGGGAGGTGAATTCTGTGAGTTTAAGACCAGCTTGATCTACAGAGAGAGAGTTCCAGGACAGTCAGTGTTACATAGTGAGTGAGACCTTGTCTCCAACCAAGCAACCAACCAACTAAAATCGTTAATTCTTATTCAGATGACGAGTAAGCTTGCAAATCAGGATGCTATTATATGAAGGTTAACATTTAAGTAAAACAAAGATAATCTTAAATGACAACGAAAAGCATCGAGATCATAGCTTCATGACAGGATCCTCAGATGTTTTCATTTATAGCTATTGTGGTAGTTTGAATATAACTGGCCCCCATAATCTCAGAAGGAGTGGCACTAATAAGATGTGTGGCTTTGTTGGAGTGGGTATGGCCTTGTTGGAGGAAGTGTGTCACTATGGGGGTGGGCTTTGAGGTCTCTTTTACTCAAGCTTCCCTCAGTGTGGCTGTCAGTCAACTTTTTGTTGCCTGCAAGCCAAGATGTAGTCACCACCATGTCTACCTGAATGCTACTATGCTCCCCAACATGATGACAATGGACTAAACCTGTGACACTGTAAGCAAACCACCCCAATTAAATGTTTTCTTTTTAAGAGTTGCTATGGTCATGGTGTCTCTTCACAGTAATGAAAAACCTAACTAAGATAGCTAGACAAGGTAGCACAAACCTCTACTGATCCCAACACATAGGCTTGGGTTTGAAGACAGGAGAAATGTAAGATGAGAGACAAAAAACAGATAGGGAGGCAGAGAAGAAAAAAGTTTCTCTATACTCACATAGCTGCCTAGAATCAAACTATAGTGAAAAGATACTTTTTTAACATAAAATTACTACTCACCTTGTTAGCTTACTTTCATGTCAGAAAAACAAAACAGTAACTTAGACTCAATACCCCCCCCCTCTCTCTCTCTCTCTCTCTATATATATATATATAAAAATAAATAGATAGATAGATATAGATATATAGATATCTCATTTTAATCAAAACACACAAAACTTACATCAAAATCTTAAAATATATTGCAAGCTCACTTACAGCACTCAACAGGAATAGATGCTATCTGCAGAGAAAGGACTTTTCCACTGGGCTGTGGGATGTGCACTCGAAATACAAGTCGTACTCTAGTATTCTTTCTGCCAATATCAGTTTCTCCTTTTCGAAGTTCTATATCTGAATTTCGGAGTTTCAAAATACCTGCACAGTCAATACTAGAAAAAAAAAATACATTTTTAATTTCATTATTCAGAAACTGGTTCTGAACAATTCAACTGTGGAGATATGTACTGTCAATGTGCCAGGTCATGAACACCTATAATCCTAGCACTTGGTAGTGCGAGGTAGAGAAGCAAGAGGATCAGGAGTTATAGGTCAGTCTCAACTACACAGTAAGCTCAAGACCAAAATGGGCTACAAGAAGCTGGGTGGTGGTGGCGCACGCCTTTAATCCCAGCACACGGGAGGCAGAGCCAGGCAGATCTTCATGAGTTCAAGGCCAGCCTGGTCTACAGAGCGAGATCCAGGACAGGTACCAAAACTACACAGAGAAACCCTGCCTCAAGAGAAAAAAAAGGGGGGGGGGGGGGCTACAAGAAACTCTATCTCAAAACCAAACAACAAAAGTTTCCAGAAAATTGTACCCCAAATTGGTCAAAAACAAATCTTTGAGGTAGCACATGACTATAATTCCAATACTTGGAAGACTGAAGCATGAGGATTATAATTCAAGGCCAACCTGGGCCTACAGATGTTGTTAGAGTTTTCCTGCCTGGCCCACAGTCAGGGCAAATCTCTCTCACCCGCCAGTCCCAAGCCGCTCAAACCCGACCAAGTAAACACAGAGACTTATATTGGTTACAAACTGTATGGCCGTGGCAGGCTTCTTGCTAACTGTTCTTACAGCTTAAATTAATCCATTTCTATTAATCTATACCTTGCCACGTGGCTTGTGGCTTACCGGTACTTTACATCTTCCTTGTCCTGATGGCGGCTCACAGTGTCTCCCTGACTCAGCCTTCCACTTCCCAGCTCTATTCTCCTCCTTGTCCCGCCTATACTTCCTGCCTGGCCACGGGCCAATCAGTGATTTATTTATTGACCAATCAGCAACACAATTGACATACAGACCATCCCACAGCATACAGACAAACAAAATAAGGAACTGTGAAGATGGCTCAGTCGTTAAGAGGGTGTACTGTTCATGCAGAGGACCCAAGTTTGATTCCTAGGACCCCAGGCAGGCAGTTCAGAATGGCGTGTAACACTAGTTCAAAGGGTCTGACACTGTCTTCTGACCTCCTCAGGCACAGCATACACATGGTACACATACATATACTTGGCACACACACATACAAGAAAGTAAATATACACACCAAGACAGGGTTTCTCTGTGTAAGAGCCGTCAGTCCTTGCTTTGTAGACCAGGCTGACCTTGAACTCACAGAAATCTGCCTGCCTCTGCCTCCCGAGTGCTGAGATTTAAAGTCATGTACCACCACGCCCGGTTTAAAAATAATTTTTTAATAAAAAAAAATTAAAATACTATACTGGAGAGATGGCTCAGCAATTAAGAGCACTGATTGCCTTCCAGAGGACCCAGGTTCAATTCCCAACAACCACACGGAAGCTCACAACCATCTGCAACTCTAACCACAGAGGATCTGAGCCCCTCTTTTAGCCTCCTTGGGCACCAGGCATGCACATGGTGTATAGATATACATATAGGCAAAAAACCCTTACACAAAATAAATAAATCTCAAAAAAAGTTTAAATTTTAAAAAGTGATTTAAAAAAAAAGAAACAAAATATATGTATGATTCTTAAAACTAAGAAACGAACCCCCCCCCAAAAAAATATAAACTTACCAGAACTCATATTTAGAAATGAAAATACATATTAAATTTTGTTTGAAATAACCTCTTACTTATTTTTGTTTTTTTGACATAGGGTCTCACTTTGTAGTTCAAATGACGTAGAACTCAAATGTCTTAACTTAGACTTCTAAGTCCTAGGATTACAGGTATATACTAACAAGCTAACCTCTGTTTTCAGCCAGGGTGTAACACTGACATTCATGTTCACCCTATTTTTAAGACAGGAAGAAGGTACGAGTAGGTAAGAAAACAGACACTAGAACCATATATTGAAAGTACCTTCTTCTATATTTTTGTTGTTGTTTACTCCTAGGTTGTTTATCTGTTTGTTTTTGAGACAGGATCTCAACGTGTAGCCTTGGCTGGCCTAGAACTGGAAATATAGACTAGGCTGGCCTCAAATTCACAGAGATCCATCTGCCTCTGCCTCTGGAGTGCTGAGACTTTTAAAAGAATGAGCCACCATGCCTGGTCATTCTTCCTAGTTTTTGAGTCAGGATCTTATATAGCCCAGGTTGGCTTCTAACTCACTATGTACTCAAGGATTACTCTGAACTTCTGTTCTTCCCACTTCTACATCCCAAATTCTGGGATTATAGGCAGAAGTCACCAACTTTTTTTCTAGAAATATGAAACCTATTGCCCTCCTGAGCAAACTTTTCAGAATTATACAATATTAGTAAGTTAGCTTAAAACAATGAGTATTTTATAGTCAACTAAAAACCAAAACCAAACAAACCATGTATTTTCTGAGAATTGTTTCAAGAAAAGAAAACAGATTTTTTTAAATTAAGGTTTTTAAAAAAATTGTTATTCTTAATTGTGGGGGGGAGGAGGGGATGTGCATGAGTGCAGGTGCTTGTGAAGGCTATGGGCATCCGTATCCCTGGAGCTAGAATTACAGGCAGTAATTGTCAGCTGCCTGATGTGGGTGCTCAGAACCTAACTCTAGACCTCTGAAAGAGTAGTATGGGATTTTAACTGCTGAGCTAGCTCACTGCTCATTTTACCAAAGGTTTTAAAATATCTGGCTAGAGGCAGAGACAGATGCATCTCTGTGAGTTCAAGGCCACCAAGGTCTACAAGTGAGTACCAGGACAGCCAGAGTTACATAATGAGACCCTGTCTTAAAAAAAACAGAAACAAATAAACAAACAACAAAAAATGAAAAAGATACCTGGCAGACATATTATTTTCAGGTAGAAGTGGAATTTCCAGAACTTTTGTGCTGGCAATTATTATCTCCTGACTTGCAGTAGCAACTGTCTTTCCAGTAATACGATGCACCTGGTAAAATGCATGAGGTCGTAAATATCGATCATCGGCTGTTCCAATAAACATCTGTAGATTTATTGGCTTTTCACTATAGCCCAGGAGCTAAATGAAAAGAAGAAATACAAAAAGTACACTTCATTATCCATGCATTTTATAATAAGCTTACAATAAGTCTATTAAATTTGTATCACATACTATTGTATATAAAAATGTTACCCAAAAAAAAAAAAAAAAAAAAAAAAAAAAAAAAAAAAAAAGCCGGGCGGTGGTGGCGCACGCCTTTAATCCCAGCACTCGGGAGGCAGAGGCAGGCGGATCTCTGTGAGTTCGAGGCCAGCCTGGGCTACCAAGTGAGTTCCAGGAAAAGGCGCAAAGCTACACAGAGAAACCCTGTCTCGAAAAACCAAAAAAAAAAAAAAAAAAAAAAAAAAAAAAAAAAAAAAAAAAAATAATGTTACCAAAAAAACATTAAAAGCAACCCATGAAAAGCCCTCCAAATTTATCTTTTATGTACATGAGTATTTTGCCTACATGTATGCCTGTGCACTTGTGTGTGCCTGATGCCCTCAGAGAACAAGAGGGCACTGAATTCTTTAGAACTGGGGTTCAGACAGCTGTTAGACACCATATGGGTGCTAGGAATCAAACCTGGGTGCCTGGAAAGAGCAGCTAGTGCTCTCAACTGCTGAGCCATCTCTCTAGCTCCCAAATTTTTAAAGTAAAGAGATTTAAACACTGGGACATGTTACAAAGGAATGTGGGTGAGGAAGGTTGAGGGACAGACAAACATCTGAATCACCAAAAAATTTGAAAAGTCAAGCTACGACTCAGCAGGCTGAGGCTGGTGGATCATGAGTTCAAGGATCTGCTTGGTCTATATATTAAATTCAAGACCAGCTTGCGTTGAGAGACCCTGTCTCAAATTTTTTGTTCTATAGCCACCAACTTCCAGCATTGTGGTACATCCTTTAATCCCAGTACTCAGAAGCCAGAGGCAGGCGGATATATGTGCCAAGATATATGGCACCTGAGTAACAACACCCAAGGTTGTCTTCTGGCTTCCAAACAAATGTGCACACACAAACATGAACAGAGACAAAAGACCACATGTAGTCATGTAATTAAAACTAAGGCTACATTTTTCTGGTTTTGTACAGGTTAAGTATATATTCTACCACTGAGCTACCCCCAATCCCTGCAAATGCTTTTCAAAAATCAATCTGCATGAATATGTGTTTTCCCTCTTGATATTATTGTGATACATACATTAATTTATTTTCATATGCTGACTTACACTTGCATTTTTAGAATAAATCTCATTTGATAAACAATCTTTTCACTGTTCTCTCAGATTTGGTTTGTCACTAGTCTTCTGAGTATATTTACATCTATAATCATAAAGACAAATATTTTTACCCTTTTTTTTTTTCCGAGACATGGTTTCACTGTGTAGCTTTGCACCTTTCCTGGATCTCGCTCTGTAGACCAGGCTGGCTTCGAACTCACAAAGATCCGCCTGCCTCTGCCTCCCGAGTGCTGGGATTAAAGGCGTGCGCCACCACCGCCCGGCTACCCTTCTTATATCTATTGTCCCCATCAGTATGTTTTTGATATTTATATATTTATTTTTCAAAACAAGGTCTTGTTATACAGGCCAAACTGGCCTTGAACTTGTAATCTTTCTGACTTAGTCTCCCATTCCCACTGACCTCTGTTTGAGCATGAGCTGCTACATCTGGCTTATTTTTTTCCCTTTAAAATACAGATGAGGGGCGAGGCTTAAGAGATGGCTTAGTGGTTAAGACCACGGGCTGCTCTTCCAGAGGACCTGAGTTCAATTCCTAATAATACCCACATGGCAGCTTACAACTGTCTGTAACTACAGTTCGAGGGGATCCAACACCCTCACACAGACATACATGCAGGCAAAACACCAGTGCACATAAAACAAGTAAATAATAATATTATTATATATAATTATATAATTATTATTATTTTTGTTTTGTTTTTATTTTTGTTTTTCAAGACAGGGTTTCTCTGTGTAACAGCGCTGGCTATCCTGGAACTTGCTCTGTAGACCAGGCTGACCTTGAACTCACAGAGATCCGCCTGCTTCTGACTCCTGAGTGCTGGGATTAAAGGTGTGCGCCAATACCGCCTGGCAAATAAATTACTACAAAAAAAAAAATCACAGGCAAATGAGATGGTTGTTCAGCAGGCAAAAGCACTGGCTGCTGAGCCTAACATCCTGAGTTCAATTCACAGACCCACATGGTAGAAGAAAAGCAAAAGTAGTCCTCTGACCTCCACATGTGGGCACCATGGTATGCCGATGTCTGCATACATAAGCACACACACTAAATAAATAAATGTAATAATTTTTAAAAACTCACAGTCCTCCACATTATTCCTATCCTCCACTGAAATCTCTCTAGTGGCTTTCCTCTACATTCAGAGTCAATTCTAATTCCTCCGATGGTTTACATGTAAGGCCTATGAGATTTGGACCCTTGCTGTTCTTATCTTGTCCTATATTCCTTCCCACAGTCCACTCCAGACATGCTGGCTTTATTACTTGAACCATTGATCATTCCTAACCTCAGGACTTTACTATTTACTTACTTATTCATTGTTTATTTTGGTTTTTTGAGTCAGGGTTTCTCTATGTAACAGTCCTGGCTGTCCTTGAACTCACAGAGATACACCTGTCTTTCAGTGCTAGGATTAAAGGCCTGGGCAACCACACCTGACTTTAACCTCAGTATTTTATCCTTCTTGAATGTTCTCTCTCTTCATATTATCCTCCTCCTTCATCTCCTTTAGCTCTGTACCCAAAGGTCAGTACCCTCAGAGTAGCCTACCTTATTTACATCTCTTATAGTGCTTTAATATTTTTCATAGTACCGACTGCTATCAATATAATTTTAAATTAAGTTATTATCTACTCTCCTGGCAACCATACAAGCTCCAAAAAGCAGAAACTCTCTTATTCATCATTCTCTCCCTACTGTCTTTTACTAGGAATATTATGGAAGCAGTCATATTTATTGAAATGTGACTACTTCAGTCAGTATTCCATAAATACATTGTAAGTGACACTAAAGAACAAAAGGCTGGAGAGATGGCTCAGCAGTTAAGAGTACTTATTGCTCTTGCAGAGGACCCAAGTTTGATTCCCAGCACACATATCAGAAAGCTCACAGCACCTCTAATTCCAGTTCCAAGGAATCTGATGCTATCTTCTAGCCTCTGTGGGCATTGCATAAATGTAGCGCACATACATATACATAAAATAAACAAATCTTAAAAAAAAGGACAAAATGGCATGTGTTAAATTTTAAGGAATTAAATGAAGTTCTTAAAGGGTATAAATTTATTTTTAAAAATATAAGATATAGGCAAGCACATGAAAAAAAGTCACTTAGGCTTTAAAAAAATGGAAACATGGAAACCAGTTAGGAATCTAAAAATACTAAAACCAAAGTTCTGAAATTTTAAATTAGGATAAAGGCAGGAGCATAACAGAAACTATGAAAAAAAGTAATAAATAAATCTTATCTAGAGATCCTAAAGAGATATTTGTAATTGACCACATATAGCATAATACAGAAAACAAGTCAGAAATTCTATGCTTCAGTACCTAAAAGATGGCATCACTAACAAATAGAGTATGACTCTGCTATAGTAAGTAGAAGGGTATTATATGACAGATGTGAGAAAAAATAATTCTGTATGATTTTTATTTTTCGTCTATCCATCCATCCATCCATCCATCCATCCATCCATCCATCCATCCATCCATCCATCCATTTTTGAGACAGGGTTTTTCTGTGTAACCTTGTCTATTCTGGAACTCAATCTGTAGACCAGGTTGGTTTCGAACTCAGAGATCTTCCTGCCCCTGCCTCTCGTGTTGGGATTAAAGGCATTCACCACTACTGCCTAGCTCCTTATGATATTGTTTCTAAGACTCAAGGAGAGAGAATCTAATGCCTTGGTGGTGGTGGGAAAATAATTTCTCTTTTCAAACACCTTGCCATGCTGTTGTTTCTCGTCTATGGCATTAATAACTTTTCTAACAAACTCCTTACTTACATCCAAGAAAGAGAGCTTGTGTGTAGCTCAAGGGGCTGCAACCAGAAAATTTCAAATGTAAATCACTGATTCCTACATGCTGCTGAGCTCAATATCTACCAGATAATCTAGTTTGCTAATGTGTCTCCAGCTTAATGGTCAAGCTGTAGATGTCTGTTTCCTTCTGTTTCTGTGTGGTAGAGTATGAGTTTAAACAGAAATCATGTAAATCTCTATCTATATATTTACCATATAACACAACATTAAAGAAGAAAGGCAACTTTCAACAAGAGAGAAAAGAGATCAATAACTACAGGGTACCTATTATTTACCAGGAAGCCAATGAGCAATATGTCATTGAATCCAAGCATCCTGCCTACCATGGGAATAGTAATTATCTAATACTGGATAACAAGCTACTCTATATTTATAAACTCATGATTGGTCAGTAATTTAGGCTGAAATCAGCTGAGCTCTTTCTGGTGTGTATACTTTTGATGGTTGACAAGGTGGATCAACTTCAAAGGATTAGCTGGTTGTCAACGTGAGTATCATGATTTTTTTCTTGTATAATATCTCATCCTCAGTACCATATTGTCCTGTTCTCATAGAGATGACAGGAGATTTCAGACCAAGATGTCTGCTATGACCCATGGCCCAAGTCCATGTTCCAACTTGAAGATCAACTCAGGTTTGGACATACAGTGCCCCAAGAACACCAGACCTGTAGCCCTTTAAGCATTACAAACCCAGAGGATCCTGAGGACCAACTCCATACAGCCACTCTTGTCAGTTGAAATGCACATCTACACTCTCAAAAGATACTAAACCTATTTCATCTATAGAATTAGAGAAACCCTGTCTTAGGGGGAAAAAAATGGTTCCCTCTTGAGGAACAAAAACAGACACCCAGAATTAGTAATAAATTGATACAGTTTATATTTGTATATTATAAATATACAGTTTAATATACATAATTTAGTCCTGGCTGTCCTGGACTTAGCTGTGTAGACCAGGCTGGCCTTGAA